AGGTTGAGGTCGACTTGATGTTCTGGAGTACCCGCGCGATCCTGCATGTGGTGGATTGCTGTATCAGATGGTCGACGGCACTTATCATATCGAGTCGGACACCACAGGACATCCTGAACGGCATTACCCACATCTGGATAAGGATGTTTGGTCCCATGCGCGTGCTCACCAGCGCCAAGGAAGGTGCACTGGACTCAGAGTTGGCATCTGCATGGGCAGATCGTTGGGGCATTCGGCTCAACTTGCGACCTCGTGGTGCACATGCTCGCATTGTTGAGCGTCACACTGCCCTCCTGCGCGACGCCGTGCACAAGGTGAACGCGCAGATGGAAAGGGGCGGCATCGCAGTTCCTCCCCAGGCTGTGGTCGATGAGGGGGTGTTGGCTAAGAACTGTATGTTGTCAGTGCAGGGAGTATCGCCCTACAAGGGCTTGTTTAGCAGAGCTCCAGCAATGTTGCGAGAGTTTGAGCCAGGCTCCGAGACGCAGTTGTCAGACAGCAGCGGCGGCCTTGCAGGCGTATCGCGTCGCATTCATCGGCTTCGTGCATCAGCACTGGCAACTATTGTTCAAGGCACGGCTTCGGACCGATTATCGAGAGCACTTAACTCACGGACACGACCAGCAGGAGATTTGCTAGAGCTCAAGATAGGCGACGAAGCCGACATCTATCGCGACCCTCCGAATGAAGACTTGAACGGCTGGCGAGGACCTGCGACAGTCACTGATCTTACGCGTCTTCGAGAAGGTACCACTGGAGTAAGATGGCAAGGCAGAAATATGCAGGTTAGATTGCCTGAGATACGACGCGCAGTGGTCCTGTGGGCGTTTTTGACGGAACCACGCGCACAGGAATCGACGCAACTTCCGGCATGCTATATCATGAATTTCGCGGAGAGCATCGAACAGGGATCGCTTTACTTTGGAGGTGTGTTTTTGAGCAAACATGGCTGGATGATCAGCAAGGATGGACAGCGATTTCCTTGGCCACTGCGAGCAGCATGCATGATGGCAGCATGCCGCCTTCAGCTAACTGGGTGTATAGGCACCAGAGTTGGTCACGGAGTTCGGCACATCGAGGCGGCGCGGGGCACCGAGGCATCCATTATTATGTGGTGGCAAGCTGGACGACGCGAAGATTGGTCATGGATCCAGGTGCCGGGAGCTCAGAGGATACCGACGGCGTATCTGTTTGGCGACGTCTGGCCCAACACGCCGTTCCTGCAGTTCCTGATCGTGAATGAGGATGAGGCCCGACAGGCACGACGTCAGACACCTGGAGTATCACATGTAGGCGGCATGGGCGAGCAGTTTGATCGAGCCGAAGGCTATTTTCTACCGCGCTGGGATGGTATCAAAAGAGGTAGATCGGAAGGATCAGATGGAAGCGAGAACCCAGCACCACATCTGTCAAGAAGATTGCCTGACGCTCAGGGATTCAAGAGGTCACTGACTCCAGGATCAGAGGAGTGGTAACCCAAGGCCGCATGTCTCTCAAAGGATATCCGATGATGAAGAAGAGAACAGAGATGAGATCTCTCATGGAGACTTCCTGGCATGTGTGGGTGAAAGGAGTTCTGGTATGGACTATCCCAGCGAGCGCGACCTTCTGATGTACCAGTACCTGGACTTCTTCTACCAACAGTACCTTGTCAAGCTGAAGAAAAGGATGACGGGCCCCTGGAGTTAGGAATGGGCGCTACCGCGGCTCTGAACTGCTGTAGCGAGACCGTGTTGGAGGGCTACGTCATGACTCGCAGGTGCGATGCCAGGCGTTGTTACATCGAGACCGTGATAGAGCGAGAGATGAACATCCTCACCATGGACGGGCTCAAGAAATACGCGCGTGACGTTGCTGAATCTTGCCTACTGGAATTACAGCGATGGTGTGGTATGGGCATGTTCACTCGTATGGCGCGAAAGAGAGCCACTAACTTGGTAGACAGCAGATGGGTGCTCAAGTGGAAGCTGATAGGTGGAGTTCGCAAGATCAAAGCGAGATTGACAGTGCGTGGTTTCAAGGACAGACAAGCCGAATCGCTCACTGCGTCTGCCGGCGCAGCATCGAGATGGGGACAACGTACTGTATGCTCGATGGCGACGCTCTACCAATGGAAGTTATGGTCGACGGACATTTCCATGGCTTTTCTCAGAGGAAAGACGTTCGAGCAGATCGCGGCTGAGACGGGCACCGAACTAAGATCGATTCAGTGTGAACTGCCGGCCGGAGCCAACATGTTATTAGGGGAGATCGAGGTTTTTCACGACTTCAGCGAGATCACCGAGGTTCTGGACATGAACAAGCCAGGCTTTGGTACTAAGGATGCGCCGTGGTCGTGGAGCATGGCTCTCACCGAGACCCTGGTGGAGGCAAGTTGGCAGCCGGCGAGATCAGACGCCAAGCTGTGCATCAGGCATCGTGAGGCGACGCAGAATGACGGCATGTGCCCAATCACGGGCAAACCCTACACGGACAAAGGAATGGTTCCGCTCGGAGTGCTGGCAGCTCACGTGGATGATTTCAAGGGCGCGTGTGAAGAAACAACGAGGGTGGAGCTATTCCGACGACTGGAGGCGAAGTACGGCAAGTGCGAATTGATAGAGGCACCTTTTTGAATGTGTTGGGATCCAACGCAGACAGGGTCCCAAACCGATGGACTGTACAATGGATCAGAATCATGATGTAAGCCAGCTGAAGCCTATCCCTGCGACAATGTTTGACAAGCAGGCCTACTCAGGTAAAGCGATCGATGAGCAGGTCAGCCTTTGCATGTCGTTGTTGGGAGGAGTGGCATGGATGGTTCTAACGAGAGCAGATATTGTGGCATATGTTGGGGAGCTATAGCGTAACATGAAGGACGTCAAGATATCGGATTTGAAAGATCCCAGCAAACTTCTGAAGTGGATTAAGAGAGTACCCTCAACAAAAAACAGCAGACCGACCTCGCCATTATGTTTGACGGTGATTGCTGATAGTGCCTATCAAGCTGACGATGTGGATTGTTTGGCACTGAGGGCGGCTATTATCGGACTATGTGAAGTTCGTGGTTCAGTGCCCTCTGGATGTTTTCATGTATGGGAATATTTTCCACGCAAGCAGGCAAAGGTCAACAGAGGCACTTTCAGCGCAGAACTTAACAATGCTATTGAAGCTACGGAGTATGGTATGTTATTAAATGGATTTCTGGACGAATGGTTAAAAGTGTCCCAGACGGCAGTATCATTACACGCTGTCGTGTTTGGACGTTGTGGAGTGGGTTTACATCTGGTATTGGACGCTCACTCAGTATTTTTGTTGCAGTGGCGGCGCAATAAGTTTCGACACCGACTGAAAGACAACTGATATATGGAGTCCGTGCGCTTCGTGAACATCTTGAGGCGCGACGGCTACAGTCAATACATCGTGTGGACACTCGTGATATGTTGTGCCGCTCTCACAAAAGGCGGAATTCCACGAGCAGCTATTCTTGGAGCATTTTCGACAGGTGCATGGAAGTTTACCGTAAGAGAGCAGTTGCATTCGTGGAGCAGTCCCGATCGAACGCGCGGGACAATGATAGTGACGACGTGAGTTTCCGACGACTGCGGTATGTGGTTACTGGAAGTATCTTTTAGAGTTTTGGACTGACATGTATATTACGGTGGAGGGTTTCACAGATATTTATTTGTTGTGCGAAGTCGACCACCTGAGCTATGTCAATATCAACGTCGTGGTCGGCTTCGGGGTGTATTACGCGGACCTCATCTTGTCTGAGGCCTGCGATGATGAGGAGTGATACCAGAGTCGCAATGCAGTAGATAGCACACATACGAAGGTATGCCATGTGTATGTATATGTGCGTGCACGCGTGTGTATAGCCCGCTTGCCCGCCGCAACCGTTTCACTCAAGGACGCGTCCAGACGTTTCGTTTTTTGCATGTTTTGATAAACGTCCCTCTTTGTCTACATCCTATCTCCGAGCCTACCAGGGTCAATGGACCATGCCCCCTTCTGTCCCCCCCCCCTCCTCCGCCCATTTGTGGCCGTGAATTACACAATGCGCTCCAGATGGTGTCCGAACAGCTGGGGTCGGAGGATCGCGCCGCATCGCAGCATCGCCGATGCATCGGCGATGCGGCTCGATGTGGAGCGCGACTTTGTCCACGCCGACGTCGCAGGTACATTGCCGACGTCGCCGACTCCAAAATCGAGCTGTAGGAGGACATCCCGACCTAACCCTGGCGCTCTCCGCGCGCCGGGAAGGGGGGGCTCAGCGCCGATCCGAAAAGTCCGCGCGGACCTCTGGAAGTTATGTTTAGTAGTTTTTGTTGCCCCAAACGGATTCGAACGGACGCCATGCAGGGCGTTGCAGGGGAGTGGAGCAAGAGCAGCCGGAGACAGACTGGGAAGGCCATGTCCGTAAGTGGGCGGTCTCGAATGTGCACTATTCTCGCAGGCCTAGAGGCTGACACCAACTCCAAGATCGGCGGTGTTCCTCCACCGAGGGAAGAAGATCCCGATCTCGGCGATGGTGGTAATATTCTGGCTTCCAAGGTGGACGAAATATTACCACCAACACCGAAATCTAGAATCACCTCCCCCCTGTGGAGGCAACCCTCTGTCTTGGTGTTGGTGCCCATTTCCAGGCCCCCTGTATTCCTGATCAGCTTCGATCTTTGACGATCTGCTTAGCAAGCGTGGTACGTTCCCTGCCACAACCGTGGCACGCGTCGAGCTCCGTAGGTCCCGCCCTCGGGAGAGGTGGATGTCCAATCGAGTCAAGAAGCATCCTGAGCCTCCAGTTTGGAGTGGCACGAGCAATTGGCTGTTGCGATGGACGAGGTCGTTCTTCAAGTGTGTGCGCTGCATTCCATAATCTCGGACACCCGTGAAACACGACGCAGGATGATGCATGCGGCACGCCAGATGACCAAAGTTACCCCGATGGGTATGTGAGACTTTGCATCTTGTTGCCTGTTGCGTATGGTTGATGGTCCATTATTGTGCTTTCGCTGTCGCAGATAGATGTAAGAATTCAACTTCATGCTCTTCATCATGCACCAGCTGCAGTTCCACCCGCTTCGCCCTTGCCGAACATCCCTTGTCCTGCACGACGCAGCCGTGGCGACAAGACAGTCGGCAACGCATGTAGCCGTTCTCTCTCTCTCTCTCGAGCAGGGGCGTGCAGAGAGACGGAACGAAGAGGGCAAGGAACAGCTGTGTGTCACCCTCGCGGGAGCCTCGGCGAGGGGACGTGATTGTTGCCGCCCCTTTTCCGTCCTGCCTCCTCTCCTCTCCTCGACCCCTCGGCTCGGGCGAAGAGGACTGTGCACACACACAAGCACCACGTGATTGTTGCCGCCCCCTTCCGTCCTGCCTCCTCTCCTCTCCTCGACCCCTCGGCTCGGGCAAAGAGGACTATGATTACACACGCGCACCACGTGATTGTTGCCGCCCCCTTCCGTCCTGCCTCCTCTCCTCTCCTCGACCCCTCGGCTCGGGCGAAGAGGACTATGATTACACACGCGCACCACGTGGTTGTTGCCGCCCCCTTCCGTCCTGCCTCCTCTCCTCTCCTCGACCCTTCGGCTCGGGCGAAGAGGACTATGATTACACACACACGCACACACACACACTCGCACACCGATCCTGGCCGGGCCCACCCCGAGCCCACCATCGATGCTTGTGGCTTCCCAAGCGAAGCCTGGAGGGCGTGCACCCCGATCCTGGCCCCAGGATGGGCCTGGCCAGGATCGGTGTGTGTGTGTGTCGACTAGACGTAAGAGTGACCTGTCGCCGGAGTGACCCTTGGTGCGGGCCCAGCGGGGCCCCCCGATCGCCGAACGCGATGCGACAGTAGCGCCTCGCGCGCCTGTGTCTGGCCCCGTCGCGGCCCCCCACAAAGCCGCGCACCAAAGGTCACTCTTGCCCAGGGTCCCTCCTGCGTGTAGCCGCGCGTGTGTGTGTGTGTGTGTGTGTGTGTGTGTGTTTGGGTTGAGTCTCCTCGGTTTCCCGGCTGCTGCATGTCTACGTTTGGGCTTGCAGTCCCTCGAGCACACCACTCATCGTTTGCACCTTACCAGTGTGCGACGTCTCGTGCGCTGTGGCTTTCGACAATGACAATTCTCGATCGCAATTCGCACTTCCATCTGCTGCCCGCGCCTGAAGACCCTCTGCTGACACGTTTTGTCACGCCGCAGTTTTTGATTGGTTGTCCAATTGCTCAGTCCTGTGGCGTGACAGCTGACTTGGACCATGGCTTGCATTTGTATACTTACGGAAGGAACATGGGCGCGTCGTATTTCGACGCGTTCTGTTTTCTGTTTCCACGCTGTCTTGGTCTCGCTGCAAGCGGGCCACGCTCCGTTCACCGCCACGGCTTTACAGTTTTGTTTTGTTGGCCTACGCTCTACCAGTCTGTTACAGGTTCGTGCTGCGTCAGCGTCTCATCCACACGGGCTGGTTTAGCAACCGTTACAGATTTTTCGCGCTTCATTGCCTAATCGTTTTCGGTGATTTAATGAACGTTATTTCGCACCAGACTGCTCGCGCTTCAGTTCACTTCGAGTCGAGTTGCCACGGTTTTCTGGCCGCTGCATGTTCCGTTGGATTTACAGTTCTTTTCTCGCACCACCCATCTTGCACCCGACAGTGTGCGACGCTTTGCACACCGTGCCTTCGACGATGTTGGATCGCAATTCGCATTTCCATCTGCTGTTCGCGCCTGAGGACCTTCTGCGCCGCCGACTTGAAGGTGTGTGTGTGTGTGTGTTTGTGCGTGTGCCGCGTGAGCTGGGCCAGACCGCGCGTTTGCCTGACCTGACCTACGCCGCGCTTGCGCACGCGTTGTCGCGACGCCAAACAATGTGTGTACGTATGTATGTATGTATGTACGTACGTACGTACGTCTGTATGTATGTACGTATGTGTGTGTATGCGCGTGTGTGTGTCTGTGTGTGTGTGTGTGCGTGCGTGCGTGCGTGTGTGTGTGTGTGTGTGTGTGCCTGCGTGGGTGCGTTCGTGCGTGCGTGCGTGCGTGCGTGTATGCCTATGTATATATATGTATATATATATATATATATGTGTATGTGTGTATGTGTGTGTGTGTGTGTGCGTGCGTGCGTGCGTGTGTGTGTGTGTCTGTGTGTGTCTGTGTGTGTGCGTGTGTGCGTGCGTGCGTGCGTGCGTGCGTCTCTGCGCTCGCGTGTGTGCGTGTGTGTTGTGTGTGTGTGTGTCTGTGTGTGTGTGTGTTTGTTTGTTTGTGTGTGTGTGTGTGTTTGTGTTTGTGTGTGTTTCTTGCATCGGTGCTCTCTCGGTCGATTCGCCGTCCGAGGAGGCCCCCACAGTTTGCGTCGGCGCTGACGGCTTCACAGCTCGTGTCGACAGAAGGTTGCCCACCGATCCCGACACGGTTGAATATCTTAGACGGCATTGTTTCGGAAACCTTCTTGACGGCGAGCCCCCCCTACGACCTCAGCCCCCTTTCTCCGCCTTGCTCTCTCGTCTTCTCCATTCTCATCCCTATCCATGGCGGTTGTGTGCCTCTTCGGGCTACGGTGGCAATGGATGAAGGCAGCGTGCTGGGACGTGGAGGCGCGGTGGATCTCCTACGTCGCCCACCCTTCGCCTGTCACCCCGCCCGACGTCGCCCGCCCCGACGCTCTCCCCGACGGCCTCCCCACCACTCCCTCTGGATGCCCTCCCAGCGGCCTCCACGACGCCCGGCCCCGCGCCCCTCCCGTCGGTGCCAGCTCCACGGGTCCGGCCGAGTGCGCGGGCGGGGCCGGCGCGCGCGGCGCTAGACCCAGGGCCGCGCCACCCTCCGCCTCGGCTGGCTGTCAACACCATCCGAACAATTAAAAATAATGAAATAGAAAAAATCAGAATACAAAAAATAATGATGAAACAAACATCCCTTTCCCAGCTTCTCCTCGCCTCCCGTGCCAGCCCCGCTGTCCCGCCCGCGGGGGCCCCTTCTCCCCCCTAGGGTGGTCCGCCTCTCGCCTCGCCGGAGGCCCAGGGCGGAGGCCTCGGCGGTGGGCTTTCGCCTCGCCGCCCCTGCCCCGCTCACGGGCTTCTGCCCCGGTTTTGTTCTCCGTGCGTTGCGTATTCTTTGCTCTCGCCCTTCGGCGCGCACTGCACTTTGCTCGGCGTCTCATCGAATCCTTCACCCTGGCGCCTCACGCTCGCCGGTTGGGCCAGCCCCTTTTGGTCGGGCACCCTCCCTGCCATCAACGCCCAGATGCGCCGATGCAGTCCTCCTCGTGTCGTGCTGTCCTCCCCATCTCATGCTGCCGTGCGGGCTCCGCCAACGGTATCGCGTATACCCTCCCGCTGTCCACGCCTGAATGGCTGATGCCGGCAGGACCGCATCTTGTGCGGTGCTTGAGGGCCCAGCCGCTTCGCGCACGGTCTGCTCACTCTCTCCGCCTCGCCGCCGCGCGCGAGGCGGACACCGCCACACGTGTGTGTGTGTGTGTGTGTGTGCGTGTGCGTGTGTGTGTGTGTGTGTGTGTGTGTGTGTGTGTAAGAGTGTATGCAACTTGCTCTTTCTTCAACCTGCCCCGACCCGGGCCATCGCCCCTCGCCCCGCCCTCTCCGTGACGCCCCCCCTCCTCTTCGCCGCTCCTCCCCGTTGCCTCCCGGCCTCCGCTGCCTCGTGCGGGCGGCCGCCCGTGGGCCCTGCAAAGTTCCCCGCCTGCGGCTCACCGGCCAGTGTTAGGTCGGGCATGCCCCCCTACAGGGGGCTTTTGGGCGAAACATGGAACAACAAAAAACAGATTTGGGGATTTTGGGGATGATGGGCGACAAATTTACAAAAATAGTCAAAACGTATCCCCAGAATAGTCAGAAAGTCGTCCCTAGATTATGTTTTGACTATGTTTGAACATGTTCCCCCTGTAGAGGGACCGGCCCGACTTGAAGCCAGTGGCCCAGAGCGCGCGGGTTGGGCACTTGCGAGGCGACCCCCTCGCGAGTGATCCCCGGTGGTCCGCCTCGGTGGGCAGCGTCGGTCTCGCGCGCGTCTGCCTGCTGTGGTTGCACGTCGGGGATCGGGATAGGGCGATGCCCCCCTTCACCCCCCGGGCCCACTTCGATGCGATCGGTCCGATTCGGCATCGATTTTTCTGGCTGGCCTCACTTGACTAGATTCCGACCTCCCGAGGATCCGATGTGGCCCTCCTGTTCACAGGGTGCTGTTGTGCATCCTGGCGCGTCCGGTGTGATTCGTTTTCGACTCCAGGCTGATGCGGCCCGATCCCGAGCCTATTTCGATTTGATCGGGGCTGGTCCCGCTGGCAAGGCTTCGGGTGAAGCGCAGACAGCCCTCCCAGGTAGTCCAGGCTGGCCTCAGCAGGTCCCCCGAGGAGTCCCAGCCGGCCTGAGCAGGTCGCCGAGCAGTCAGTCCGTGGCGGACTCGGCACCCCAACCCTGGGGCGCGGAGCGCTCCGGGGGCGCCGCTGGAGGCGGCGCCAGGGTTTGGAGACCGACCTGGCAGCGCCTCTGGCGCCCCTGGCGCCGCTTCCGGCGGCGCCCCGGGGCGCTCCGCGCCCCGGGGTTGGGGTGTCGAGACCGCCACGGGCTACTTGGAGGGCCTGGAGCCTTTTGTTGCTTTCGATTCGGGCACGCTTACTTGCATGGTGGGCCTGGGCCCGAAGCAAGCCGAAAACAATCTGACGTGCGGAAATCACGCAAGGCGAAAGGCACTTGCACGCCCGTATTCGATCGAAGAGGGGCGAGCGGGGGGGAGGGGGCGGGGGCGAACGCCATGCAAGTAAACTCGCCTGGATCTGATGATAAACGGGCTCCTGCCAAAGCCAGGCGGGACTACTCCAGGGGCCTGTTGGGGCCAGCTCGGGCTGCCGGGGGGGGGGGCCGTCTTTGCGCCGCCCGGAAGCCTTACCACTCCACGCCCCGTGCCTTCGAGGCAGGAAGCACCACGGGGACCATGGCCGAGGTGCGGTGGGTTCTCGTCGATGCCGACCTCGGTCATGGTCCCTGTCGGCCGTCGCCGATTCGCGAGGATGGTCCGCGAAATGTCGCTGGCCGAGATCGACGGCCACCA